TTTTAATAAAAATTATTCTTTATATTTAATAATTTTTAAATATAATTTTTTTAAAAAAATTATTTAATAAATAATATTATTAATTTTAATAAAAAAAATTAAGTGCCAGTTTTTTTGTCCCAAACTGTAACTTTATACTTGTATTTAAATTAATTGTTTTTCCAGCTACAAGATATAAATATCAATTTATATAGATATAAAACTTGCTGTAATTGTATTGAAAGTTATATCTAAATTTAAGATTTTTTATTGAAAGTAACAATAGTAAAATAATATAATTTTTACATGTTTAATAACTAATCAAAACAAGTTCTTAATAAATTAGAGTAAGATTTTTTATTGAAAACAATATTGATACAGTTTCAATAACTAGTAATAAAATTTTTTAAAGTTGAACATGTAAGTTTTAATTCAAATTTTTTTTTAATGTTAGAGTAAAATATTACTTATGATCTTTATTAATAAAGTAAAAGTTTAACTTATTACATAATTAATATTAAGATATAAATTATATTGCTATAGATATTAACCTACTACCCATCAAACAAATATATTATCTGAAAAACCCTTGAGTAGAGAAAACCTGAGGAACTATTTGTTGTGAAAAATAAAAAATAAAAAAACATTTGAAACAAGGTTGCTAGCATTGTAAAACATTTGGATGAAAAGAAAAAGAAGGAAAAAATTGAAACTTTTGTTAGATGTGGTTTCTGAATGCAATTAAATATTTTAATTGAATGTCGGCACTACGCAAGCCATATGTAACTCAATAAGTTTGGTCATGTGATGTTTTGTAATGTTGTTATTATATGATATGGTCATATTGTGATGTAAATAATAGGATAACTGGAGTATGTTCCAGATGTCTATTATGTTGTTTTGATAAGATGTTGTGTATTGTAATTACTGAAACTCATGCAAGGCACTAATCATATGCTCTCCCAATCTGATAAGTTATGTTGTTTTGATATATAAAGGTAATACAGAATGTAATTGGTGTTTTATGTGTTGTAGATCATTTAGTGGAGTAAGTTGATTATGGTTTTTGGATTGAAATTTGTGAGCGAGGACTGGTAACTAACCAGAAGATTATGTGAAATCTAGCACTAGTTATCATCAACAAAAAACAAAAAAAACTTTAAAAAAATAAAATGCTGCCTCTTGAAAATAGAATTGATTTTGAATTGAAGATAAGAGATATGATTGTTTTATAGCAGTTGTGTATAGAGATGGCCTTCATATAAAAAATTTTCTTTTTATTTGTCTTCTTTGTTCCAAGTTATTGCTTAGTGCCATTACCAGTCACTAGACCTTTTAGCATAGGTTTTATTGCTGGAAACCCCAGAGGCCAATCTTATCCTTAAAACCTCCACTGCTCTAAATCAATTTTTTGGTTTATGTCACCTCTCAAAAGAACATATTCCACTAAACAAAGTTCCTTGGAAGAGAGAAGTTTTCTAAAAAGACAATTTTTTATGGATGAAAATGTTGTGGAAAAAAGTTTTTTTTTATTCAAATTTTTTTATTAGAGGCCACTTGTATATTTAAATAACAAAAAATAGTTGAATATTATTGATTGATATTATTAATCAATATTTTTTATTGTTTATTATTTAATAGAATTTTTAACAATATTATTTTGATATCAAGTTAATATTGTATTTATTATGAGTTTAATATAATAAATTATAAATTATATATTAAATTTATTATAAATTAGTATCAAGTCAATACTATTTTAATACTTAGTTTAAAATCCTATTATTTAATATAATTTGTTTTTATTTTTTTGTTACTTGCATTATATTCTTATATTAAGTTTTTAATTTAAATATAAAAATGTTTTAAAACAAAAATTATTTGTATAACTTTAATACTTGCCTTAATATTATATAAAGATCCAATTTGATTTATTAATAAATATATATTATTAAATATACACACTCCTATAATAAATTATCAGGATAAGTCAATATAATTGGCTAATCATAATAAAAAACTTTTTTTTAAAATGTTTTTTTTTTCCAATTTGATTATGTTCATAAAAAATTCCCTTTACGTCTGTTTTTCCTATTTTATAATTTTTTGTTATACAATAAATGTTAGGTTTTGAACTAAGCCCCCAACAACATGAACAAATAATCAGCACCTATTTTTTTGATATAAAAGGTATTATCATTATCTTTAAACTTAACATACCTTTCTCAACCATTTATAATACAATAAAACAATATTAAAAAAAAATGAATTCCTATACTATAATATATGCTTCAAAAGATCAAATTCTTTTTTAAATATAAAAAGTGTTTATTGTAGCACTTTATTAAAAAAAACTATTTGGCATCTCTAGGCATCATATCAAGCAAGATTAACAACCACCTTAATATAACATTTTACAATAATACAATTCAAACTTATTTATACAAAGCTGAACTAGAGAACTATGCAACACAAGAAAAGCTGCTTCTATCAAATAAACAATGTTTAGCTCGACTTAGGTGGTGCAGAATGAAATATAATTAAAATAAAAAGTGGAAATAGATTACATGGTTTGATGAATTATGTTTTGTCTTATTTGAATCTAATAGATGAAAGCAAGTTTGGCACAGAGTTGGGAAAACCTATAATATAAACTGTGTTAAACCTATTATAAAGTTTAGTAAGGGATCAGTAATGTTTTGGTATTGCTTCTTGTGAAATAGTGTTGGCTCTTTAGTGCCTGTAAAACAAATATTGAATTCAGAAGCCTACATAAACATTTTAGTTGCCAATTTTTATATATTGGATTTGTAATAGTCCAAGTACTATATTTCAACAAGATGATATCATCTGTTATACTGTTTTATATATAACTTGGTAATTCGAATTATATGCAATTTAAGTTTTAGGTTGGATCATCCAAAGTTTCAACCTTAATCCAATCAAAAATTTATAGAATTACTTAGATTACCAAATTCGAAAAAGAAAGTCTTTACTGATATCTGTACAAGAATTAATTGATATTGTGCAAGAAAAATATGCAAAAATAAGTATAAAAACTATAAGGTACTTAATTTTGAATTTATTTCAAAGAGTTTAAGCCATTATTGTAGCTAAAGGTAAACATTTTAAATATTAATTTGCCATGCTTAAAATTATATCAAAATAAACTATTAAAATAATAGTTTATTTTATTTTATGCTAACTATAAATAAATAAATAAAATTAAAAAAAATCAAAAAAAAAAATCATTAATTTATGTGACGATCCCAGTAATTTATTGTAGAAGTGTGTATAAAAATTTTTTATTAATAAAAATATATTATTGATTTGATAAATCAAAAAAATTAAAATTAATGTTAATATTATTATTAGATTATTTTTTATTTTTTATTTTTTTATATCAATTATTAATAAAAAATAATAATATAACAATAATCAATGATTTATTTTATTTTATTACTTTTATTATTATTTAATATTTTTATAATATTATAATTTATTTAAAAGTAAAACTATTTTTTTTTTTTTTAGCAAACAAGTATTAAACACAAAATTTTATATAAATCATAGTTTAATATCAATATATTAATAATTTTTATAAAAATAAATTAATTATATCTTACTATATTATATATAACTCAGTATATGTAAAATTATATTGAAAAAATAGCTTCATATGTTAGATAGGATTAAAATAAACCTATTTTTATTATTGTAAAATATAATATTGAAAGTTAAATAATATTTATTTAGAAAATAGATTATGATTTATTTATTTTCTTACAATTTTTTTAGTTTTTTTTTTTTACAAGATTAAAAAAATTTTAATTTAATTTAACAATAAAATTCAAAAAATTAATTTAAAAAAGTTTTTATTTATTAATACAAAATTACAAAATTATATTAAAACAATAATTTAAAATATAAATTGTCATTAATTTTGCAAATTAAAATATAAAATACTTTATATAATATTTTTAAAAAATTAAAATTTTTTTATTCTTTATAATCAATTATAGGAATTTGAAAAGTTTTAAATAATTAATAATTTAATAAACTTACTTATTTGTAATTAAATAATTAGATTATATAAATAACATGATGAATTTGATATTAAAGATTTAAGTATTATATATAAACTTATAAACTTATTAATTGATATATTACAATAATAAAATGTTTAGCTATAATATAATGACCTTATCATATTAATGTATTTTAATCAATGATTAATAAATGTACTCAGATTACAATTTAATTGAAAATTAAAATTTTTTAAAATTAATTGATTATTTTTTTTGATTTTTAATAATTAATTTGATTTCAAATTTCTGAATATACAATATTAAAAAATTGAGTATCAGCAATCAATCTGGTATATACAGTATATATATATATTATTCACTTTAATTATGAATCCGTTAGTAAGATTATTATTGTATTGTTTGGTGTGATAATTAATATTATAAGCTTAAATTTGAATAGGCTCTTGTTAAATTTGATTGGTCGAAAAATCCACATACTTATTGCGTAACCTCACTGGAAACACGAAAAATCGCGCACATCAGAAACTGAATTCGTTCTCAAAATGCATATCGAATTTCTTCATTGTAATTCGTGTTTCGCGTATTCATCCTTCGCAACTCGCGAAGAACAAATCCGTTTTTGGCTAACCGAATGCGGGCACGTGGTTTGTCAAAGTTGTTTGTATAAAAGTGAACCAAACAAAGGTAATAGTAATAGTAATATTTCATTAACCTATATTACGCCGAAACACGTGTTCTAAAATTACTTGGATGTTAAACTTGTAGTAAATTCATCCACACCTAGTGAGCCGACATGTTCAGTTTGTAATACGAAGTGTGCTACCGTAGAATTAACGGAAAAGGTAAAGGACGAGCTAATTATATTGTTAGCTACAGATTATGTAAGGAAATTAATTAATTGAAAACCGGAATTATAGCTTCCTCCTAATCTTAATATGTTTTTTCGACCTGCGCATGAAATATTAGATGAGGCATCAGATGTTTTAAAGGCAAGATCGTAATTAAATTGATGGTTAATTTATTCATTTTACATCACCAGTTGACCATATTTGACTTTACCCAACTTAGTTCCAGCAAAAAAATACATTTTCCTTATTAGGGTTTCTGAAAGATAAGGTGGTCAAACAAGAACAAATGCTTCACAAGATGAAAACCGAGTTGCTTCAAAACAGAGACATGAAAAAGTAATAGATTTAGTGCAGTGTCACGCTATCTTCACGAAAGATTCAACTCAAGTTGGTAAATGTTGTCACAAAAAAGTCAATTACAGGTTCTTGAGGAGGAAAATCAATGGTTGAAGACCCAACTGCAAGAAGCACGATTGCAGACTCCAGAACTGCCTATGCGGCTTAATATTAGGTTGGTGAATATTGAACAACTGTTTGTGCAATTAACAAAGTTATCAACAGTAATTGATTCGCATTTAGCCCACGAGTGCATCCCGAGTCTCCGAGCAAAAATCATACACAGTATCATGTGTCTTCGAAGAAGGTACTCTTATAGTTCGCATACATTCTTTTCTAACCATAAAGCTATAAATAGCATATTTTTCTAATGGACTCTAGCTAAGAACACCAAATCCACCGTCACGCCTATCGCTCTCTACCACCAATTCACCGACGCGCGCTACTTACAACCAAGAGAAATGTTATATTAGGAGTGACACTCAATTCAAAAATCAATCATCGTGGAATGACAGTGTCGAGAATTACGAAGGATTTGATGGCGGTGGAATGGCTAATCCCATTGTTGTACGGTAATGTCAATCCCAACACCGTACCCAAGATACCATTAAGTCAAATCACCCAATGAAACGTTTTTAGATGTGAACGGAGGATTATGCCACCTTTCGTTGAAAGTAAATTTAAACAATATTCTCAGCAACAGTCGGTTCAATTGTTTTTTAGATCCAGTACGGCATCCAGTACGCGTATGACCTGGAATGAGGTACACAACACTAGAAACGTTCTGAAACCCACCACAGGTTAGTTACGTTCGTTATTTCCTAATGCGTATAGGGAAAACTAACGATTCATATTTTAGGATCGAGGGAGCATTCGAAATTTCCGCTTACACGTGAGCTGCCACCTACGGTAACAAATTTCCAAGAACCTTCGAGATCGCGATCACTCAAAAGGCCTTATTCGTCTGCTTCGCGCTACGATGTTGCACCCTTTCTTGTGTCACATCAACCAAGAACTCCCATCAGCAGAAACCGAGGAGCGCTCCCGAGATGCAAGTGATTATACATGTTCTGAGAAAATGTTATCAAAATAGCGGCCTTGTAAAAATCGATTTTTGATCATTCCACCATTACTAATTTATTATTATTACCTTATTCACGTTATGTATTTGTAAGTTTACGGTTTGATTTTTCGTCGAAAATCATAATCATTGCCAAGAATGTGTACACTTAAAATATTTAGAAATATGATTAGACAACCTATATATGTATTTTTTTTATTATTAATCGAGACTTAATACCCAGGGTATTAAGGCGCAAAAAATCAATAACTGCTTACCGCGAAAAACAAAATACAAAATGGAAAGGGAGATTCAACGATATTTAAGAAATGCGTATAGAGGATTAGCAAGGGAACAGTAAATGTTCTATTTACATTCTTGACAGCATTTGATAATATTAAAACGCAAGTGTAATTTTTTGTTTTAATAAAAAAAAAAAAAAAAGCAACAAAAGCTTGTATGTAATTCTACTGTGGCCGATACGTGGTGGATTTAAAAATATTGGATTAACTCTTATGAGCAGCAGGGGGGGCAAAAGTTAACCGTTGTTCGTAAAATTTGATCATCTGTTTATTCAACATGAATATATGCCTAATAAGTAAGTTTCCAAATTGAAAAAGAAATGAAGATTGCGACTTACTTTTTGAGGGCATCTCATATTAACATCCTTCGCAGGATGTCTCGACGTTTCACCGTTATTCCTAAAGTTCCAGACTAGTGTTAAATTTATATAGGAGAATTTTCAAGAATGATCGAAAAATATTTCAAATACCATTTAAGATAGACGAGCAAATCTCCTGTTTTGTCATCCCGGGTGACGGTCTCCACCGCTATAACCTGATCCTCCCAGCTTTCTAAAGCCTGTGCACCATCGTCATCTGATTTAATCCTAGATGCTCGAGGTTTACTTGAAACACGAGTTTTCTTGGAATCTTTATGAGATATGGGTTGTGGTGCTGCACGTTTTCTTCCACCTGCCTTGCGTTTCGGTGGTGAAGCCGATGTTTCTTCTGATTGTTCATTCCCATGTTTTAACCAATAATCCTCTAAAAGCTCTTCGGCATAACTTGTGTGTTTAAGAATTACGATAAAAAATTGATTTGTTAATTACAAGTCAACCAGGCTTCAACGATCTCGGGCAAGAAAATGATTCATACACGTCGCCTTCGTTTTCCCAGGTACTATCATCAACCGAGTAACCTGGATAGACGAAAAATTTGATTTTAAAAAGCTTCCCTCAAGGCATCTTAATGAAGATTATCGCTTATTACCTTTCCATTTAATATGATACTTGACCCCGTTCTAAGATGAATCATCCAACATTTATAAAAAATAATGTTCTCTTATGGTAATAAAAAAAAACAAACAAAAAACAAACAACGCGTTTGACGCTTACCTTATTTTTTTTATGACCAAGAATAGCCTCAACCTCAAAAACCTCCTCCGTTTCACCCTCTTTCTTTTCCTCCTCATTATCTTCCTTTTTTTCTGCATTCCCGTTTGCATGTCCCAAATCAGTGTGTTCTGTTTGCTCGGGGTTCTCCTTTTCTGCCGAAGGAGGTTGTTCACCTTCGGGATTCTGATCCTTGTCAGCTTCTGCCTTTTCCTCTACTACCGGCTCGGTAACTAAGCTTGTAAATTGCGTTGAGATTTCAAGGGTGGTGCTGGCGTGTGCTTCGGTAACAGTAGTTCCACCTTCAACGCCATCGTAATTTAGGAACTCACCAAATTCGTTGGCTCCTTCCTCTTCAGTCTTGTTTTTTGACATGTTATCTCACTTTTTCTGTCTGGTATCAAAAAAAACAATCAACTTTACACTGAGAACTATTGAAGATTTCCAAAAAAATCCAAATGATAAGTGCGGCTCTCAGACAATAGAAAAAAATTTCTCATATTTGATTTACTTGATGTTGCAGGGACTAGGTGATAAGTTACCTTTAACTATAAAAAATTCAAAGAGCCACTTATAAATATTTAAAGAGTGTCTAAATCCGTGGAAAAAGTCAACAGGAACAAATGGTCAATTGTAAATAAACGTAAACAAACGTGAGAGATGTATAAATATTCTACATACATAAGGGCATGTGCCATTTATGAGATATGTGTCACCTCTATATGGTCATTAACGGTGTCCGCAATTTGTCACCGGATATATGGCACACCTTCACATATGAAAACGTGCAGTTATTCCAACTTTGGTCTAAAGCAATGAACAAGCTCCATAAATTTGGATAGTTAAAAATACGAATAGGGTCACACGGTGTTCAAAGCCGAATAGTTTGATTCATTAAATGTTATTTTGTCATAATCTCACGTGCCAGCTGCGTGTGATGAAAAATGTCGTAAATGCAAAAAAAAAAAAAGAAAAATTTTTTCTCGGTCAAGTCATGTAGTCATGTGGCGCAAGTTTCAACCACACTGTTAAAGATCACGTGAATAGAAACAAATTGAATTATTTATTTATTACTAACTCTATAGTCTGGCCTTTGAAAATATCCAAACATTTGGAGACTTCTTGAACATCACGAACTTGTATAATTTCAGAATAAAAATTAAATTCATATTATTTCAGTTCATTATGATTACTTTGGTGATTTTAAATTTAAGAATCGCGCGAAGGACAACTTGGTCACTCCGTGCATTATTTTGATTGTCTAATAGGCAAGATGATATATATGTATATGTATTCTCTGAAAATAGCAATTATCTGGCTGCGAATAAAAAAGATGTCTTTTATGCTTCCAACTGAATGCCTACGCCAAACCGTGATGTGCCCTGGTACGCGAATTCGAATTCGTTAGTTAGTTAGTTGATGGAGTATCTCGTGGAAAATGACCGCACCAGAAGAACTCATCACAATACCTTCATGTGTTCAATATCACCCGTGATGAGAAAACTAAATCCGGGAGTTATTTTCTGTTCTATCACCACAGACACGCGACCCGAGGTGTCCACCTAAATTTTCGCGATGCAGACGTGAGACGTTCGATCATACCACACACAGTGCGCAATGAAACACTCGGGAAAAAAAAAACTTACCTGTCCCCTAAACGTTGCCGCCCTGAAATCGAATTTACCACCCTTGAAAACAATTCGAACAATTAGCATCGGCCTGGTTGGTTTCTGGACAAAGCGAGACTAACACCAGATCAGCTACATACTACAGTGCATAAAGCTTCTCTTCGTCCTGCGGCAGCGTAGATTTGAAGCTCGGTTCCAAAATCCACTTTTTCGTTTAGCTTCTGATAATATGATGCTTGTAACGCACCAATTTCTTGCCACTGGACTGTTGCAATATAATTTTCTCCGCTATATTTCGCAACCAAGGATTTGCTACATTCCTCGATGTCTGATGTTGGTCTCTGGTATACGGTTTCAACGCCCAAAGCGAGTTTTTGCGTCACAGATTGGATATAACTTAAAAAAAAGATACCGGTGTTCTCAACTGGCCAAGGATTAATGGTTTTGCAATTAATGGAATAATCGGATCCTTGGTAGTCTTGTTCCAGTTGAAGCATTGAATGCCCTGGAGATGGTGATATCTTCATGAACAACACAGTTGTTATTAAACAATTCATTATTTCTCACCAATCACATAAAACAAATGATTCTTCCTCACATGGGCTTGAATTTTGGTCACGTTCTTTGCATTCCATGCATAATTCGTGCGTGCAGTTAAGGTTCCATCCGTGTCAATGGTACCGTGGAGAAAGGCCTTCGACGTAGACCATCAGTAAAAAACCATTTTCATCAACGTCTAGTGGTGAGATAGCGATAACGAACATAACGTATTGTGTATTACCTTTTCTCCAATGTAAGCAGCCCCAAAGTTGTACATTGGTGCAGCTAGCGTTGAACCCATGGAAAATGAGTGTGTGACTTGAAGATTTTGTGATAGGACTTTGGTGAGATCGGCCCTCCCACCATCGAACAAGTAGTTTGTAAGGAATGTGGCTGCATTAAACACAAAGCATATTTCTCAAAATTTGCTCAACTAATACCGTGTTGCTTCAATATATGTGTTCGTGTATTGATTGTTGGTATAATATAAAGGATCTATTTTAAAACCCATTTTTACAGGGATGTCAAGGATGACCTTTCCGTACCTTTCACCTCTCGATGTAGACCCTCAAAAGTGCCCGGATTGGGCAAGTTAAGTTTCTTTCGGTACTCCGTTATTCCATTAAAGAGAGAGCTTAGACTCCATGAACTGGACGTGGAAGGTGTTGTCTTTGTTGAAACTTTTTCACCCAAACCGGTCATGCTTTTGTACTGTGAAAATGGTCACGCGTCGTTCTTAAAAAAATTCGAGAAAATTATATCAAGTTCGTTCTCGCAAAAAAATTTTTGATCATTGTGCAACCACCCATATCTCAAAAAACTTATCCGATGATAAAGTCGCACAAAAAATCGGACTGCGGTTCATACCACGCGTTTATTACGTATAGTATATCTACTGTCTAGAAAAAATATATATACAGTAATAAAGTTTTCTTAGAAATTATTTTCAAAAAAATATTTATCAATCAATATATTCTTTTGTTTGATAAATTTATAATAAAAAATTTTTTTAATTAAAATAATAACAATATACGTATATTTTTTAATAGAAAATTTTTAATTAAATTGCAATCTGATTATTATACTATAGCTAAATATTTTACTAATTATAATATAAATTTGCATATAATTCTTAAATTCTTAGTATAAGATTATTTATTATATTGTTCATATAATTTAACTATTTACTTATTGTTTATATAATCTAACTATTTACTTATTGTTTATATAATCAAACTATTTACTTATAATAAATATTTATTAAACTATTATTATATGATATTAATTATTTAAAACTTTTTAAAATTCTTTCAACTCTATAAATATAATTATAAAAAATAAAAAAAAATTTTTTTATAAAGAAAATAATACAGTATATAGAAATATTTTATATTTCAATCTAAAAAAAATCATTGGTTTATATTCCATATTGTTATTTTAATATAAATATATAATTCTAAAAGATAAAATATTTTTATTTTTTATAATGCAAAAAAAAAAAGTTTATATTAATAAATAAGAATTTTTTTAAATTAATTTTAATTTATTTATATTTTTATTTGTTATAAAATAAATTTTAATATGTATTTGTTTTTTTTTTTTTTGTAAATAAATATTATTTCTTTATTTAATTTGTATATAACAAAATATATATTATGAAAAAAACAACATCTTTTATATATTAATACAATAAGTTAAATACTAACTTGCCTATAATAACTATATAACTAATATTGAAAAGAAAATTTAAAACAATATATTTTGTTAAATGGTATCAAACAATTATAAATATTTACTTAGTATTAGTTAGACTATAAATATATTTGAAATAAATAAATAAATATATATATATATTTTGTAGGTAAACATCATTTCTTTATTTGATTTGTATATAGCAGGGTATACATAGTGAAAGAAACAACATTTCTCATATGTTGGTACAATGAATAAATGCTAGCTTGTCTACAGTAACCATACGACTAATATTGAAAAGAAAATTTAAAACAATATATTTTGCCAGATGGCATCAAGTAGTTATGAATACCTACTCAGCATTAGGGAAAATAGTAATAAAATTAGAATTAGTAAATAGAGTTGTTAGATTATAAATACATTTGGAATAATTATATTTAAATTGAATGAATGAGTTAGCCACAGTAGAAGATAAATCAATAATGATGTTATCTTATGGATTATTAAAGATGTCTTTGGCCTGTAAGGTATTTTTAGCTTTTGAATTAGTGGAATTGGCTGAGTTATGTATCTTGGTATAGTTCCACTTGATTCCAGTGAGAGGTGAAGTATTAGCTATAGAGTAACGTGGTTTTCAAATTAAATCATGCAATAAGGACAAAAATTCTATTGCTGCCTTGATCCAGTTCGTAGAGTCTATAGTCAAGAAGATTTTGTCTATAACTTCACATGACAACTTAACGACTTGTCATATATGTGAAATTGGTTTATGATTATCGTCTGGATGGAGAGTTTGATTGATAGTTTTAATAATTTGCTCAGCTGCTTGTAATGCTTCCGCGCATTTGAAAACATGTTGAATGTCTTTCGTACAAAGTTCATATCATGGACAGAAAATATTTGGGTATTGATTAGAATATAACTGGTAAAGTGTAAGATGGGTTGGAAGAGTTCCTGAAAGCAGTTTGATTCTGAAGACTACTAAGATATTGTATTTGTTATTACAGAGTTTTCTAATATTTTTGTTGGACTGGTTGATGATTTTTAGACCATGTGGGGTATGTGTTTGTTCAAATGTTTGGACAACTAAGAAGCTTTTATATACCATGTAGTCTCTGGTAATACTAAAAATTTTCTTGTACCATTTGATACTGCTACCCAAATAAGTATTGTTGATTAGGGGGTTTTCTGGAAAGTGTAGTAGAGGGTTGTTCCACTGAATGGTTTTGGTTAATCTTGGTTTGGATTTTGGTTTAATATATATGATCTCTATAGATTTTTGTTATATGTACCTTCTTGAGTATTCAGGTACCAGTTAAAAGATTTTTTTATTGTTTCTAATTTTAATGGTAGAGTGAGCTGGGATTTCCTATATGATGTCAAAGATTAACAATAAAATGTTGCCTGGTAATAGGCAGAAGTTGAGTAGTTTTATTTCAATCTCATTTATAAATAGACTGTTCTTGTGGAATTGAATATGGTAATGTTATTGCAGGTCGAGATCTTGTAATATAATTGGAGAGAATGACTAGCAGAGATATTAACTTCTTAAAGAATGTGTTCATTATTTGGTGGAGAATTGACAATTTTACCTATTATATTGAGCAGACGGTATTTGAATCTATAAAGAGGACTGGAAGAGACCCATAATATGGAAGCGGACGTACTCATAAATAGTATCCAATAAAAGCCATGGGAGGGTATATCAATTGGGCAACCCGAACATCTAGTGAAATTATTGTCAAGATCTATAGTGAAATGTTTTCCTTTGAGTGGTGTTCTTTCATCTATAAGGATATATCTTTTATGAGTCTTAACAACTGTATTAATATTATATAGGAACCAGAATGTTGTTTTAAGATTTGGTATTGGACTGTGAGTTCCAGATAAGTTCTTAGTGTTTGCAAATGTTTTGAACCAATTGAGCTCTGGACCTAAGCGAATTATTCCTGTGTGTGTAGTGAACTGTGACCAGAAAAGTTTGGTGGTGTTATTGTACTTAGCAGTTGATTAATAAACTTTATGTTGAGGACATTAGTTATACTAATTGCTGTTTTTCTAAGTTGTGACTACATGTTGGTGAATAGAAATCCGATTGAGTTTTCCGCATTGTCAAGATAAAATAGACATTCTGCTGGACAAATTTGGATTTTGAGGTTCTTGGCTGATTTTGCAGCATAAAGAATCTAGTTTTCCTGGTTGAATTTTTGAAATAAATATATTTAAATTAAGTAAATAAGTTAATAATAATAGAAGATAAATCAATAATAGTATTTTCTTATAAGTTATTATTAAATATGTTTTTAATTTGTGAAGTGTTTTTATTTTTTGATTTAATAGGATTGAATAAATTAAGAAGCTTGATATAATTCTACTTGATTTCAATAAAAAGTAAGATATTAGCTATAAAGCAATATAATTTTAAAATTATATCATATAATTAAATTAAGAATTTTATTTTATTTTATTTTTTTTTGGGGGGGTTTCCCCTCATAGGTAAGCATCATTTCTTTATTTGATATTGTATATAACATGGTATACATCG